GACTTTCGGTGGTGATGATCGAAAACGCTATAAAAATAAAAAACAGGTACTTTTTCTGCATCGCTCTTCCAATATGGCCCCTTTCACTAGCTGTTTGCTCTTTCCCATATATATATATATATATATATATATATATATATATATATATATGAAAAATTAGAAGTGGACCACATTCCACTTAGTATGACCAGTGACTGGCTCTCATGTTGATGATGACAGCCGCGGCTTGGGATACCAACTGACGGAAACAGGTAAAAACACTCGAAATATGCCGTTGTAAGCTATTTCGGTGTTCTTCCGACGTATTGTTGTTATACAAAGAAACGGTAGGCACGAGGGCCGTCAGCCTACCCTCCTGAGCAATACAGACGCTAGCGAAATATTATGGGTGAATTCAAACCACAAATCGTCTGGTCAGGAGCTCATCATTTCAGTTCTGGACGATCTTGGGCACTTAAGCCTCCAATGAAACTGTAAAACTTACCTGACTGAGCTTTGGATCGTTATTGGTACAGACCACCATGGGAAACGAACCAACTTCCGCTGAATGTAGCTGATCCCCGGGCGCACAACCCAGGGTGTCTGTCGAGTCGTTATTATGACGCTGTGTGGTATGAATCGCAGATGCGCTACACGTAGTGACCCCCTGATGGACTTCCTCTGAGAATGGAGAAAGAGGCTGCGTTCCAGATAAGGCTACGGCCGCCGCGATCCACTGGGTCATTACTTTTACTTGAGGGTCTGCACCTGGATTGATGGTGTGCTTACCCCAACCGGTGGTAATCACACCCGGTGGACGGATGTCTGAGATGGGAAGTGAAGTTTTCCTCTGCAAAAAAGCAGTGTGGTGAAAGTGACAAACGGAATCAACGGATAGAAAATGTTGTCTAGTGAAAAGTTTGACTGGCACTAGGCATACAACTGGAAATCGCCCGTCGATAATGACACCGGTAACTGAGGTGAACTCAGGTGGAAACCTCCTTATCGATCTGTGTATGCAGACAGAAGCAGAAGAGTAGCTTTTTCAGAAACGACAACTATAACAGCTCACTCTTTGAATGGACGGAGAAGCGCTGTATAAAATCGAGAATGTTGCTGAACGTGAAATGGTACGCACGTTCAATTAGGCACGGCAAGGCGAGATAAACAGATCGGTTAAAGTAAACCAGAACATCATGTAATGGACAATAGCGGCTCATTCATGCATACAATAACAACAACTCGAGTGTTGTGACCAAAGGCTAGCACGGCCATCTGTTGCAGTAATTATTCTCCTTACAGAAGGCACCCAAGCAGAAGGCAAAGTCGATCGAAGCCGACACGTGGAAAGCTGACTGGTCAGACTGCATTGTGTTTTATAGCCTAGAGAACTTGGAAACGTAAAAAATCTATGTATGAAAAAGGAGGAGCAGATTTCACAGGAACACTCACCGAGACAAAGCGGAAGTGAAGCTCATGCAGGGCTTGAACACAACAAGACGTGGCAACACTCTCTGCATAACGGTACAAGCGGTTTGTAACGTAGACGCAGTGATTATCCGGGTTGTAAACATGGGAAGGATCCAACCGAATTCGATTTGGGAGTGAACCAGAACTTAGCTGTTTGGAAGTAGACGTTGGAAATTTGAGGTGCGAGAGAAACTCTTGTTTACAGCTCCAAGGTGTCTGGAGGGAGAGGTGGCAAAACGGTCTGTACTCATTAGCCATTCATAGAAAAGCCTACTAACTAACTGTTGAATGGGAATCAAACGTACAATAAGTACTATAAATTCAGGAGGGCCACACTGTACTTCATTAACACCATTTGAAACCAAGTCACACTGGTACATCGATTCCGTAAGAAACAGTAATGGAAAGGGGAACAAGAGAGTCAAGAGAAGCGGCCACTTGCTAGTTTGCTGCAGGTACTCTGGGTTACATAACCATATGAATAAGAACTCCTCAGCGAGAAGACAACTGATGGTACTTCTCAGCTAGTGTTCTGATGGTGTTCTTTAGGGTCTCGAGGAATTTTTACGTCAGAGGAATGGAAGAATCTGTCACACATAAATATACAGCAGGATATGTTCACAAAATGCGCACGATTGGGTGAAAGGTAAGTACATGTGACTTACAGGATTTGCCGTTGTTCGGGGTGCCCAACAGAATGCTGATTTCTGCCTTTTATGGATGTCATTTGGAAGACCAAAACTTTCGCGACGGCGAGAACGCCTTTCGTACTGAAAGCATTTTATTTTAGGAAAAGCGTCAGCATGATACGCGAGAGCTCGCGTTCTTCGCCCGATAAACTGTTGAGATGAGCTGCTGCTTGAGGTATCATCACATTTGGATGAATATGCAAGCCGTCTATTAGATGCCGACTGCCGGTATCTTCCACCGCCTTGAGAATAAGGATGTGCAATGAAGCGTCGACGACCTCGGTTTGTGGTCTCGGACGACAGCGGCTCGTGTCGCGATTGGTTGAGCTGAGCGTCTTGTAAGATATGCTGTGTGAATCGATCCAGCCAAGATATACCTTGGACTGCAGTACGAATTGTGTTCGAAATGAAATCATCAGCATATTGACGCAATTGACTAAGCCGGCTTTGTGCCATGGGGTATGCCTGAAATTGAAGCAATCATACACTGCACTATAATCCGGAGAATGCGATTCCTATGGTCAATGAGAACCTCACTAAGACGCCGCCGAGGCAATAGACTAAGCAGTACAAACACGCCAGTACCAACGACGAAATGTAGCCTTGCAATATACATCCCCCATCTCCAAATGCAGTAGGCAAGTAAGCAACGTGAGAGCACCAATGTGATCAATAGTTATGTACAAAAAGTAACTGTTTTCAGCCTTTACATGCCGGCCACCACGTCATAAGCCACATACATAATGTACAATGTTCTAGATTCTTTAAATCTGTCCGCCAAGGATAAGGGAAATGAGAGTAAATAGCTGCACATTGGAAGCAACAGCTAGATATTTTTGTAGCGTTCGTTGTTCAGAAGCACCCGCTTTATCATCCATCTCCGAAAATCACGTGAGACGAGTTCGATACGGGTGTCATCAGTGAGTTGGTTCAGTTATAGCACGAATAGGTTCCGGTTGGTTGAAAACAAGGATTGTCGGAGCAGAGCCTGACCGCCCTAGGTGATCTTAGAGAATCCAGGTTTCTTCGGTAATATATATATATATATATATATATATATATATCAAGTCTCAAACAACTTTACAACACTGGTCAGATGGTACAGTTAACAGATTATACCGGATCGATCAAGTAACATGCATCAGTTAAGCGATCAGTAACAATACAAATAACGTTTTTCGCCTGCAAGATGGATGGAGGCCTGCTTATTTTTTCGCATAACAACAATCAGACGGAGACACAAAAATATCCCAAAAGGAAGGGGCTAATTGGCCCAGTACAAAGTGGTGCGCACATGGAAAGAGAATATGAAAAGTACAATTGGCCTCTCATGAATGGGTCTGCGCGACTCTGCCGCTCTTGAGTGGAAAAACCGTAGGAAGGAACCCTGATGGCGACCTTCTTAACAGTTCCTACGCACAGTTTTCATTGATTGTTAGATGTAGACATGCCGTAACGAATGTAGTCGACTAGAAGTTAGCTTCCCTCATCCCTATCTTGTTCTACTTTCTAAAAGAGCAATTTCCTTATGAAATAATACGGTCGTAAGCTATAGGGCAGAAGTGCTTAGCACTGGGCGCGTTGGAAGTGGTGAGCTCAAGAAGATAGTGGCAAAATTATGCTTAATGGATTAACGGAGGTAGGAAAACAACATCAGCATGACGTGGACATACCTCACAGAAAGCTTTGTCGATGCAGCAGTTCACCAAACTATTTAGCGCACGATATCCTTCCGAAACAGTCGGTGATCTTTCAGCGGATTGTACGCAGGGACTGTTCAGTTCTACAGGTTCGGATGGAGATGTCGAAGAGTACGCTCTGAAATACGGTAAATTTAGCCAAAGATTATGTCAACACCAGTAGCTAACAGGAACGGCATAAGGTACATCAACTTCTCGAGGAAAGATGTAAGTTTGGCTATAACTGGTAGTCATAAAGCCTCACTTGTTACAGGTACAAGCATTGCCTTCCGTTGCAGGCAGCGTACGCGATGTGGACTCTATCATTTCGTCGCCGCCAGCCACATTACTCAACAACGTAGCGGTTACCCCGAAATCATTTTCAACTAAGCCAAGAAGCTCCGAACTTGGAATTCGATCAGTTGCTCGTGGATGGAACAATCTGCTGCCTCCACTGGATGACAGGTCACTAAGCCGACGGAGACTCGACTGTGTGCTCGGACTGTGACCACGACTAAAACTGAGAATAAAATAAGGACACATATCCCTTATCGGTAATGGTGTAGCAGATAAATTGGACAGAACGGTTAAAGCTTGAAATGGAAAGGAGCACCACCGAATGTCATAGTAGAAACAGCCACGCACCAGCCAGATTGACGGCTTTGTACTTCAACTCGCCAATCAAGACTCTAGTCAGTTTGGAAGATTGCTTTGTTACTGAACAACGAAAGCAAGAATTCTGTAGTGACTTCTTAGGCCAAAATACATAGGCTATTTTAGAAAAATGCTTTCTTTGGAAGCAAGGAAAGCAACCGGTGAAAAGGTGATGTGGTGATGCACTGGGAATAGTTTCAACGCCTGATGACACAGCAGTTTTATAGGTACACGTGAATCCGAGCTGCCAAAAGGTGGTGTTGAAACGGCAGGTGATTTGAACGAGTCTTTGCATAAAGTGAAAGAAGGAACTTATCCAAAGGACTAACGACACCGGTTGGAACGTAACTAGGGAAGAGATGGTCAGTGCATTCAAGCTGGAGTGAGAAAAGTTGACCATAGAGGACGATATTATGCACCAGTCATGGATATTCAGACTGAGGCCTGTTTGAATCAGTCCGACGGATTTACTCGCAGCTCATGAAATGAATGACTCAGAAATGATGAAAACTCTCAAAAAGACGAGGAAATCTAACTGTACTTAGAAGGTATACGAATTATACTTGTGCGCGCCACAGTTTGGTTTACGAAAGAACGTGATATTTTCCTTCTGACAGCCAAAGGGATAGATCAATAGGTCATTCAAGTGACAATACCGAATCCGCACTACCAAATGTAACGTAGACAGAACCCACGGTTTGCGTGTATCGCATTGCAGAGGCACATATTCATCAATTTTCGACATGAAACATTTGGACACTTTATGCCGACTGCTCAGTAGTTGATTTTTCGTTAGACGAAGTTCATGGGAATGATCACCACAGGTGTGTCAAGAGAATTATCTGTAACGCGAAATGATTGCTACAGCCCAGTTTTCTTCGAGTCACAACGAATTTTCTGCACAGAGGTTCCACTGTACATCAAGACTTCACCTTCCATAGTTCTAGGCTACGAACCCAAGGGCTCAGTTAAGTGCTCAGGACGGATCATTTGTGATTAGTCCCCAGACTCGATACAACATGAACGCTACTATATACAATAGATCTATTACTCATTAGCTTACCTAGAGCGAATCGAGGATTGTGGATAACTGGTGGTAATTGATGAACTTCCAATACAGTTGCTAATACTATGTCTCAGTGAACTTTGATATAATGGAGAAGGCAGTGAAGGACCAAGGGGTGAAGACTTCGTCCAGGTCCTATTGCCGCCAGTAAGACTGTGAACTATGGCCAGATCAACAGAGTTGGGACTCGTGTGTTGCACATACAAGGGCATATCACTTGGTGGATTTGAACATCCGACTGAAGATGGTTGGTGTCTGGTGGCGGACTGTAGAACGCTCGCATGATGTAGCGCATCGTACAAAATATTATAAGCTCGTTGGCTTGCCAAATCTATCATCCTTTGTGCCCGCATAGTCAATTCGAACCGAGTTCTCCGGTCGTTTGCCGGTTCGTGGCATCCCGTGTGGTGTATATCTACAACGAAGACAACAAAGTGCAGTTGGTTGGACGAAAGGAAGCTAAACAGATACACACTAGATCAAACGTGTACCTGTCTTCCGTTATCTGCTGTCCTAACAATAATGTCGATCGCTTAACAGTAAGGCCACTGTATAAGGCAGACTCAGGACCAGGTGCCTGATTCGACAAAATCGGCAACTCGCGGGGCGTCAGGCAAATAACGCCAGTAAAAAACGCGAGGGATGAAATACAACCAATTTGTTTGGAAGGAGTGGTGGCGAACTCAAACCAATTCATAAATATAACAGCACAGCTCGTAAAAGATGTCAAAAAGTGATAAGCCCGTATGACTAAAGTCAGGATAACAGTTACTATGCTCGACAGACTTCGGTGGCTGTTGGGTTACAACAATTCAAACCCCAATAAACTAAGGATTATTAGGAAAACTTGGAAATAAAACAGAACAGAAGTGCACGAATTCGAATACAATGAGGCATCGATCTGTTGGGAGATCTTCGGTTATGACATTTCAATCATTCATGGCCTATTCAAGGATCAACTGTGATTTTACCCACGGGCTATGAGAATAACAGAGTCTTCCATTTCAATATTTAGGAGGGAATCATGAAGGGAATTAAAGAAAACATGGTTTCGACGATATTTGACGTTCCGATTCTCTAGGTTAGTTATTACCTCTGACGGGAATATACTCGGATATTTTGTGAAAAAGCGCAGTTTATAAACAATATTTACAAAAACAAGTGCAATCACTCCAATGAGCACATACTTAGCTGTCACGCCACCCGAAGGAGGGACGAGGGCTGGAATGCTGCCAGGTTGCCCAAGCCTAGAGATGGGGAGTTGAGATGCTTGGGCTTGGTTCGAAACGAAGGAGGGAGAGGGCTGGAATGCTGCCAGGTTGCCCAAGCCTAGAGATGGGGAGTTGAGATGCTTGGGCTTGGTTCGAAACGCAAACCTTCTAATCAGTTAGTTCGCGCCCTAAACACTGAGCTACCTCAAGCTCTTCTCCGAGGAGAAGAGCACTGTTGGTATCGCCATAGGTGGGAGAAGTATATATTCATCGTGCGTCCTCTCATCTGTACCAAAGCTCAGAACCAATCCACGATGTATTGTCTCTTGACTGTTTTCTTAACAGCGTCCAAAGACCATCAAGTGGCTTGTGGTCCGACTCCAGGATTCTGACAGGCGGTGTGCGGGAAAATAAGACAGTTTATCATGACTGAATAAGTAGTGAACCCGTATTTTGGTAGGCACTTTTACAACTGGCCGGAAGACGACTAAACTAGCTGGAAACTGTACAGTGCGGACTTCTACAGATTCATTGCTAAGAAGTCATGAATCGATGTTATTCCACAGCCCAAACTTGTGCAGCCACCCACATTTGACCTGGGAACGACAGTCTCCAGATTTATCAATTATGCATCGCCTTCTATCTCAGAAAGTTGCTCGCCAGTAGTAGAAGTTCTTGCCGTGCCTTCGAAAGGTAAGCATAAATGGCCTGTCTGTGTACGTCGAATAAAGATGAACGAGATCTTGAAACTGGACTGCGACATCGTTCCACCTACACGCAACTAAATTACTAGAACTGGTTGTGGAATAGATTTGTATCGTAATAACAACTAAAGCTAAAGGCACGGAACAATCTTTCTTTCGTTTACTACCATCTCTAGGATTTCAAGGACTTCCTCAGGAGGATATGCATGGGTGATTCGTTCAGTGGCCCCACAGTTAACCTCATCTTACCGAAAAGACAAATGAACCTTGCACACGATCTACCCATGGTTGAAGGATTGGATATGCCAATCAACCGATACCTTTTGTCACGGTAACTTATAGAATAATCTACTAGCTCCTTAAACATGTGTTGCCATCGCCGAAACCCGTGATGTGTCAGGACCTTACAAGTTGTTTACTATGTGTTGGCAACCACGTCACTATGAATCATCCCAACGTTCCCTGAAAAACTAACCGTGTGTCGCGACATCTGGATCAGCCGTTCATCACATCCTGAGAACCATGCTAGGATTATTCACTTTGGTCTACCGCATGCGTTAGCAGACTAACACGATACTTCAATAAACCGCTGGTTCTGCCGTAGTTACCGTGATGTGGCTGATTCAGTGCGTGGACAGCAAAATAACCAGTACCATCGCATGACATCATCACTAGTGTAACGGTGATACTACTGATCGGGAGGCACGCGAGTAGTATGTGTTGTTCGTAGAATTTCGCTTTGCGTCGATTGAAAAATGGAATTCTGTTGCGGAATTCGCGGGGCCACTTTGTAACATTTGCTTTTATTTGACCGACGAATGATTGGAG